AATACCACATTGGACTCTAGAATATGGGTCCTTAGTCCTGGCCCCAGAGGAACACCATATTTTTTGGTTTTTGCACCAGCCTCGTTTTTAATCACAGGATAAGTTTTTGCAGTTTTCTATGTAGGGCAGTTTTATAAATTTGTTCTGATGGGATTTATATTTGGTATCAAATCATTTCTGAGTTTGAGAACTGCCCTCATTCAGGTGTGCGTAATTGATCAAGTAGGAAGGGCTCTCAAGTTAACAGCCATGCTGTGGAGAGGCTGTGTAACATCCTGTGTGTTGAAGCTGTAGGAAACAGTACCCTTGAAGTCGGGTGTTTTTGACACACAGGACAGACTGAAAAAACAAGTTAAATAAACTCAGAACAAGCAAGCCAGTCAATTAAGTGTCAAATCAATGTGCACAGGAGCTGTAGAGCTCAGCAGGATAGAAAACCAGCAGACACTGTGTTTCTCCTGGACCAGGGTGGGGAACCAGTGCCCTAGACTGACTGGAGTTACTGGAAGCTTGTGAGTCTAATCTCTTTTTGGGTCATTGCAAGGTAGTTCACTCAATTTGCTTCAGTAAAAAATCCAGCTGGAGCAACACATGCAAACACTATACAAGTTTCTGGGATTAAAACTGTCAAACAAATTAACTGATAATACTGATGAGTATCTGGATATATCCGTTCAATAATTTGTCTCATCCTCTTTTCAAAGTGCCATGCAAGGCTTGGTTATAGATGTCTGAGACCTCTAGTGATTTTAGAATTCAAAACTAATTCACAGTGGTCTAGATGGCTATGGTTTAATGCAGTGTGAATTTAAAGGGTAATTTCTCTCCTTCATCATTTGGATTATGATGATCATGATAATGAAGGTAATTTTAAGCATATGCATTTCAAATCAGCAAACTGTTATTCACGGTAAATGGCAACAACTAGATTGTGAAGTAGATTCTGAAAGAAACTTGGCTGTGTTTCCTGTGAAGATTTGCTCTATAAATTCAATGCAGAGAAGAAAATTAAATTTGGTCAGTCGAGACCCCTGAGAGAACATGAACATGGCACATGATTGTGTTGTGGTTGTTAGAAGAAAACTAAAAGAAAAGTCTTTAGTTTTTTACTATGGAATGCTGACTAATTTAAGAGGAGTCTCCCATTTTTCTGGAGGTTTTGGTAACAGTGAAACTATACATGCATGATTCTTTAGATCTGAAATGGAAGACCCTAGTCTTTTGGCTCTTGGGTGAGGGGGGTACTCACTCAGACTAGCTGGACATTTCATTAAGGAAGGGAAGACTGCTTTACTTAAGGAAGCTTTGGATTTGACAGAGGACTATCACAATGACAGGGCTGTACCTCAGACCACCCCAGAACTCACTGGTTTGATTATGTCCCCTTTGCCCAGTCCAGACCCTCAAGAGCCAAGTAGGAGAGACTGACAGACCCACGACTGTCCTCAGTAGAGACTAAAGAGATGTGTGGGTCCACACTGAAGACTCTGTATTTTCTATTGTTACTGTCTCTACCTGGAGAGAGTTACTGGCAGTGAAGCACTCACCACCTTACCAGTGCCTGGAGGTCACTGTATTAACCACCATTACTGAAAAATCAAGGAATCTACAGCAGTAGATATTGCACACTATCACTGTGGATTCATTTATTTTGTAAATGGATGCCCTTTCGGTGATTAAAGACAAAAATAAAACTGCATTTCATTGAAGCATTTCATTG